CCGTTGCACCTGGAAAAGAAAACAAGAATGCTGAGAACCTTGTCAAGAAAAATGTACCAAATAAGCGTTTTTTACCAAAAAAATGACATGCATCTACTATACAGTAAAATAATGTAAAGTTCAAAATATCGGGAAGAAAAAATATACATCTAATTTAATTTTATGTACGGTTATAGGAAAAATATCATTTACTTGTGTTAAATGACGCAACATAAAAAAAATCGATGTGTCACTCAGTTATGTGAAATAGGTGTGAAGGTATTCTGGGAATCTAACGTGACGTCCAGAACTCGTTTTTTTAGAGTGATCGACCGAAGGTTCGGTGGCTTTCACCGTGCTAGGGAGTTCTTCGAAGACTGAAGTAGATTCAATTACTTGTGAATTATCGGGTACGTTTAGCTCCAGGCTAATGGGATTACCTTCCAAGTAAGCTGGTTTCAGACGGTCGATACTGACGGTGTCTTCGCGGCCTTTTTTGTCTAAAACGAAGAATTTATCAGTGCGTTTAATCATTTTATATGGTCCGTCATATGGGGGTTCTAGAGGACGACGTACCGAGTCGCGACGAACAAATACATGTGAAGAAGTTTTTAAACAAGGGTGAACGAAAACATCAATGGACTGTGGTCGGAGGGGAGCAGGTTTAACTGAACGCATAGCGTTTGTAAGCCTGCTGACGTATGAGGAGTGATCTACCACTGGTGGGAAGCTCGAGGGAGAAACAAACTCACCTGGCAGTCGTAGTGTTGTGCCATATACTAGCTCAGAGGTAGTACAACCAGCATCGGTTTTTAAGGCATTTCGTATCCCTAGGAGAACTAACGGAAGGGATTCAGTCCAATGGGTGTTATTTGCAGCTGATAAACCAGCTTTCAACTGTCTGTGTAGACGTTCTACCATACCATTAGCTTGAGGGTGGTAGGCTGTTGTTCGAAAACGCATACAACCAAGGATTTTAGTTAAAGCGAAGAATAAACCGCTTTCGAATTGCCGCCCACGATCAGTTGTTATGGAAGATGGGCATCCAAAGTTTGCGATCCATCTCTCTACAAAGACGCGTGCGACGGTTTCAGCAGATATATCCTTGAGGGCTACTGCTTCAGGCCATCGTGTGAAGCGATCGATGCAGGTTAACATATAAGTATATCCATGAGATTCTGGAAGGGGGCCAACTAAATCTATATGGACGTGTTCGAAACGGGCATCAGGGATAAGAAAAGTGCCAAGGGGGCTTTTAGTGTGTCGTATTACCTTGCACTTTTGGCAAGCTAAACACGTCTGTGCCCATTCCCTTACTTCTTTGTTAATACCAGGCCAACAAAACCGACTAGTTACGAGCTTGACAGTAGTTCGAATACCTGGATGGGATAAGCCATGCAACGTATTGAAGACGTTACGGCGATAACTTTTAGGCACGATGGGGCGAGGAGTACTAGTGGAAATGTCACACAGAATAGTATCCTTTCCTATACCTAAGGGTTTCTTGGCTAGTTGTAGAGTTGTTTTCGACAACTCACGCTGAAGCTCAATATCTTCTTTTTGAAGACGAGCCAGTTTTACAAGGTCTATGCCGTCGATTTCGGTGAAAGAACAAATACGTGACAAGGCATCTGCCACAGTGTTGTTCACCCCGGAAACATGGCGAATATCTGATGTAAACTGTGAAACGTAATCTAGTTGTCGCGATTCCCTGGGTGAATACTTATCTGAAGTTGAGTTCAGAGAGTACGTTAAAGGTTTGCGGTCAGTGAAAATGATGAATTCACGACCCTCAACTGAATGTCGAAAATGACGTAGAGCACAGTACATAGCTAGAAGTTCTCTCCCGAATGTGCTGTACTTCGTTTCAGCTACTTGAAGGCGCCTCGAGAAAAAGGCGAGTGGTTGCCATTCGTTGTTAACTAGTTGTTGCAGAACTGCGCCGATTGCAGTGTCTGATGCATCAACCGAGATACTCAACGGTGCCGTTGGATCCTGATACATAAGAAGGGTGGCATCTGCAATAGCTTTCTTTACCTGAGTAAAAGCATGTCGAGCAGACGTGTCGAGTTCGATAGCCTTGTTGTTCCCTCGAAGGAGATCGGTTAATGGCTGAATTAGCGAAGCACAATTAGGAATAAAACGTCGGTAATAACTTACCAAGCCGTTAAAAGTGCGAAGGCATTTTACTGTCTTTGGCTCCGGAAAGTTCAGTATTGCTTCGACTTTGGTAGCCACTGGGCGAATACCCTGGCAGTCAATAGTGTGACCCAGAAAATCGAGTGAGCCAACGCCTATTTGACACTTCTGTATATTGATGGTAACACCATGTTGGTGTAACCTTTCAAATGCCAAGTCCAAGTGTCTAAGGTGAGTTTCCTTATCTGGACTGGCAATGAGGCAGTCGTCTAAGTATGCGTATACAAAGTCGAGACCGCGAAATACTTCGTTGATGAAGCGTTGGAATGTTTGGGCCGCATTCCGGAGGCCGAATGGCATACGTAGAAATTCGAAAAGTCTGAAAGGCGTGATGATAGCCGTTTTCGGAATATCTTCCGTTGCCATGGGGATTTGGTTATATGCTTTAACCAAGTCGATTTTGGAGAATATAGATGCTCCAGATAACGTTGCCGTCAAGTCGTGTATGTGAGGCAAAGGGTAGCAATCAGGAGTTGTTTTGGCGTTCACTCGCCGGTAATCACCAGTGGGTCGCCAATCGTTGCTATCCTTTTTCGGTACCATATGCAATGGGGATGCCCATGGACTATTCGATGGCCGAATGATGCCAAGGGTGAGCATATGATCGAATTCGTCTCTGGTAATTCTCAGTTTGTCAGGGGCCAGTCGTCGCGCTTTAGATGTCACGGGCTGTCCTGAGGTTATGATGTGGTGCATAACATTGCTGGTTATACACGGGAGATCGTTAGATGGGCAATTCAGTTCCGGATATTTGTCAACAATCGGTTGAAAAGTTGGATCGAGGATTGCTTTCATCTTAACGATTGACAAACTGGGGCCACTGTAAGTTATGCCTTTGATAGACAAACTAGTAGTGTTGTCAATTAATCGTTTACGGCGGACGTCTACGAGCAAATCATGATGATTAAGTAGGTCCGTGCCAATGATGGGCATTGTGACGTCAGCGATCAGAAAAATCCACCGAATAGGTTTGCGTAAACCTACGTTCAGATAGACGTATTTCCGACCATAGGTTGCAATTGGTTTTCCATTTGCAGCCTGTAGGTTGAAGTTAGGATCCTTCTGTCGATCTGCTGCTGTAGCAGGAAGGACGCTGACTTCGGCGCCTGTGTCGACTAGATATCTAGTCTGGCTAATTACATCATGGATGTAAAGTAAGCGGCTAGTGCCACCGGCGACGGTTGCCGCTAAGGCGTGCCGGCGGGATAGTTTCCCACAGACTTGGAGGCTTTGCCGAAATCACAAGGTTTTCGATAACATTTCGCTTCCTGGCCATAGGTGTTGTGATACCAACACCAGTCAGGATTTTTGACAGAACGTGTGTTGGACTTAGATCGTCCACGTGCGCTTTGCCGTTGAGGGGATTTAGAACGACGATAGGAGGAATTGCTAGGTTTGTTTGACCTAAGCATCTGCTGGACGGAGTTGATTAACTCTATCATTGCAGAATCCTTACTCGAAGTCTGTTCGGTAACAGAGTATACTTCGGTAACTGGCCGTTTCGTTATCTCTAGAATTCTATCTGCAGAGACAGCTAAGTCATCTATGAGAACACTTTGAAGTGTCACAAGTACAGTCTGAACTGACTGTGGCAATTTGGATAAAAATAGTTCTCTAAACAGTCCTTCATCGAACTGACTTTGGCCAATGATCTCTTTCATTCTTGCCAGCATGCTCACGGCTGACTGATTTCCTAACTCGATGTTACGAAATAACTCATCCAGACGTTGTCGATCTGTGAGAACGTTTCTCTTGAGGATGGATGTTTTGAGCAACTCGTACGAGTTACTTACCGACATCTGCAGAGTTACGTACCTGCTGAATTCCCGCGGTAGGGCGTGAATAACTGCAAGGAACTGTGAACGTTGATCAGTTATGCCATGTTCACAAAAATCAGACTCAGCAATCTGAAACCACGTTTCAGCATTATCGGGCCAATATGGTACTAGCTGAATTGTTTTGGCGGCTGAGCGAATCTGAATAACCTTGGGGCTAGGATCACTCATGACGAAAAGTATGCCGATAACAATATAGTACAAGAATAAACACAAAAAGGAACGAACTCACCGGGTTTATCTGCGTGTGAATTGAAAATGTAGTTCGTGGTCGGGCTCACCAGTTTAGGTGGTTACAGGTATCGACGTTCGCGAGTTGTACGGATTATACTAACGCAAGATCTTATACCAACAACCACTATAGTGTTCGTTCTTCGAGTACCAAATGGTAAAGCAAAAGACCAGATTTTGTCGTCCAAAGTACGTATTATATTTCGGGACAAAATCGCGGGTAGAGGTGAATGCTTAGCTAGCTAGTAATCGTGCACGCACGTGACACGACGGAGCACCAAATGGCGGGGATGCTTGACCGTAAGCCTTCAGCTAAACAAGTCGACTTAAACAGTGATGGTCAGCATCCAATGTTGAGTGATGATTGCTGTGGTTAATAATTTTGGGGAATTATTTACCGCTACAATAGTATTACACCTGCAAATTCTTGCTCATTATCATTTTAATCAAGGGATGCTTACCATCACCCCTTTGAAATCTTGCGATCACCTGACCTTGATGATGTTCATAACAAAGTCGATAACGAATAAGCAGAACAAACATTTTGTCGAAGGATGAAATACCAATTTTGGGTTGTTTTTTTATTATTCTGAAAAACGCTCTCGTCTCTACAGGCCTGATACTCACCTAGCAATTCCGTTTTCCATTACAATCATTTTCTCATTCGTATCAGTATTTTCGCGTTTTAGATTTATATATTTTGTTTATTCTATTTACCTCATGACAAAGGCATTTAGAATTGAACATGTGAGCGTAATTCGACACCCCTGGCCAGGCGCAACTTTTGAATTGGTGCTTTGTAAGGAAAGATGGTTATTGCCCGGGCTAAAGATGGCAATCCATCCACAAGGTTTTATGAAAATCCGGAGATAATCGCTACCTTTGATCCGGTGAGGATGTGGTTGACCAGAAATCACAAAAAGTACACGCAAACCGAGCCTCCCACCAACAAGAGCCTGGCTACTTTATGCTTCCAATTGCTACAGTTTCAAGAAGCAAACTTCACAAGCAGCGTAGGTTTTTGTTGGATACCCTTTTTTATTTCACTAATTCAGTCCAGGTCTTTCATTAGAATTCCTTTTAAATGTTTCATGGACTTCAAGCCCGGTGGAGGATTATGCCACATATTCTTAACTTGTTTTAAGTTCCGTCACGAAAATAACTGGAAGAAAATTGATCTCTCCTCATCTTCTAGAACAGATAAGCATATGGAAATGTTTTCAGTAATTGAACGAGAGCTTATTGCGTATAAATGTATGGAGAGACCTGTGGTTTACATATCGCCCACTGTTGAAAAGGTTAGTTTCTAATGCATTTATAAATATTAATAAAATACCGTCTTTGCAACATCTTATTTTACTCACTGTATGCACTTTAAGGTTCTCAAATAATACTTACTGTTATTGGTAATATTCTTACTATATATGTTTACCTTGGTGGGCATTAGAAATACTTCAATCTGATGTATGTCTTAAAAAAGACTTAAGACGTTAACAGTTTAACATCTGAGTGCATAGTGATCCTATTTGATACTCGTGAGTGCATCAAAAGTGACTTAAATACTACATATTGCTAATAGTTGGGCATATAATATTGTGTAACACTGGATTCAAAATCTATTTCACCTCACTACTTCATTTATTTTTCTCTATATCCAGAACTTAAATAGCAGGCTGCGAGAATGTGCTAAACGCCTAAATGTATCTGTAGTGGAGTCAGCTTCTGAAGCTACACACATTTTACATCCACCACCTTCAAACTGGTCTGGAGACAGTCGAGATGATTTTCAAGTTCAACGATTCCGTGTTATGTTTCACGAAGGTCGAGGAGTTCTTCTACACTGGTTATATTCACCCGCTTCGCATACCACTTGGTATACTGGTAAGTCGATAATGGCATTTAGATAACTTTTAATATTTATGTTACTAACTAATGCAGGCGTAGGCTATTAAACAAACATTAGAGATGGGGGTCCCATTCCACCCCCACTAATAATGTAGCAGTAAGATAGTGTATATATTCCTGTATGCGAAGGCTACTCATAGTCTGTTTTTCTAACCTTTATGTATAAATGTCTCTTACCTGAACTGTACTCACTAACGCTTACGCGTAAGAATTCGAGTTTTGTTTTGCTAATTATTTACCCCAGGAGTTTTTTATTCCTTCATGTTCCCAGTGGAACATAGGCTTCAGGCTAGAGGCTTGAAGTTTCTGTAGCAGAATTTATTTTTACGGGATGGGGTTGCTAGCCTCATGCCCAAACTTCCCTCTTTACCAGTCTTATTACCGGCTTAGCGAGGTAAAGGAGTGCGTCGGCCAGGGATCGAATCCCAGACCATGTGCACAGTCGGCGAGCTTCCTAACCGCTGTGCCACCGACGCACCCCCCAGAAGTTAGTGTTTACTTATCAGTTAGTTCCTACTTTAGTGTATAATACGAAGCACTTCCTCTGTGGTAACAAATTATTTATTTATTTCCTTTACTAATTTAAAGGTCTACAGTTTGAATGGTCTCCTGAGACTGAATCACCTTTTCAACTTGAAAATGTTCGTCCATGGGAAGTAGACGCTCGTTGGCTTCTATATTCCGATGAAGCATATGAATGGATGATTGAAGAGGATTTCTTAGTCTCAGGTTCTGTCAAGCCTAGGCAGACATATTCACGTAAGTTTTCCTACGATATTTTGGCATTATTCAGTATTTTAGAATGTTGTTTTTATTGTTAACGTTACATCTTTGACGTAATACGTGTCATATCTGTTGATCAATAGCTCATATATTGCAAAGTCAGTCTGAAACTAGTGATAACCTATTAACGTTTTCCAAAGTTGATATCTAAACAGGCATTAACTATTATGGCGCAGAAATGTTTATGTTGCCAACTATATTCAGTGATTGAAGGCAACAAAAGTCTCAAATGGAGTTTCCTCGGGATGAACATTGCTACCAAAGTTTTGAACAAAAATGCTCACTTTATCCTAGTAGGACGTTGAGTTTTACAACATCACCATTTCACTCTGTTTTCTACAGTGGTTTTTAAATGGTTCCACAGATGCATATAAGCTTTCATTTCCTTCTCACACCATCTCCTCCTTGTCGCCCTCGAAGTGACTCCAAACTTGTCTCTTCCCATTCGACTTCTGCTCGGGGGCCTTAATGGCCCATGATGTCACCTCAACGTTTGTTTACTCTATTTCTATTCCCTTCTGCATATTTGTTAGACGGTGGGTTCTCTGCCTACCAATGTTACGTGTTGCTTATCCTTTCTGGCCAGTCACTAGTTCTTCAGTATTGAGCGAAGTGAACAGCTGTTGAAAATGCGTTTGGTGATGCACACGCCAAGTCTGTGAGCCAAATAGAAGTACCAACTGACTTGCTATACTTATTGTTGTTGTTTCTGAATGTAGCAGATTTCAAAGTATTGCAGGTTTATCTTACTTTTCCAATTCTGCCTTTGGCATGTGAAAATAGATAATAGTGTCTTTTTGTGACGCTAGATATGAAAATGGAAGCACAGGTCTTTTGTTTTTGATTGACACTAAATTTTGCCTTTGAGTGTGTTCATTATTAACTAGGGTAAATTTATTTCATGTTATTTGCTTTCAAATTTTGTTTTTGTTTTTTCAAGCGGATGAGTTTATGGCACTAAATTCAGCAGCAGCTGTGAATAGTAGTTCTTCATCTTCTCAATTCAGTAGTTCATTTACACCATCATCACATCCAGACAATAGTGGAAGTAAGAAAAAACGTCGTCGATCACCTTCTCCATCAGCATCAGATTTATATCAACCAAATGTGAGTGGTAAAAAACGACGTCCTGGTTCATCTATCACTGGTTCTCATGAACGTTCAAATCGTGGTCCAAGTGGACATGGATCATCTCGTAAAATCCGAAAAGAGGTTAGTTTTTTTAGATTATATAATTGTATGCAGGATTTCATCATGAACAGCTGATATCAGTTAGAGAACCATTGGAAAACCTGGGAATACTAGACAGCTGTCTCATCGTAGCTTGGGACTCCTTGGCAACATACGCACACCGGGATTTGGACCCAGGACTTTCCGGCCATAAGGCGAGCGAGATCGTAGACCTCTAAGCTACACTGGCATCCGATCCAATGGCTAGTCCATGAATTCTAACTTCTGTCAATTCACGGTAAAGCGTGACTGGCACTAGCCAGTGTTATCATTGGCGAGTGCTTGTCCTCACACCCGACTTGCTTTACCCCACTGGTCGCAACTTTTCACTAGAGCCCAGGTAACTATCTACATGAATAAGGCCAGTCGCTAGTGAGCATCAGATTGATATTCGAGTGTTGTAGTAGCAGTAGTATTGTAAACTTGACAGTTGCTCAATGAGCAGTTTAAAACAAAAATCAACTACAGTCTCAAAATCTGTTATGACTAGATAATAAATCAATTTCAATATGACTATAAGGGTGTAAAACAATTTACAGGCAGTACACCTTACTCAACTTCTAATAGCTGTGAAAGCCTGTAGCTGGCTAACTCACGTGGTGAATATTACAAAAATAATAGTAAGGAGGCATTTGTGTGAGGTATTTTAAGTAATAGTTTATCGATTCCCTCCTGAATCTCAACTCTAGCTAGCATCCTTGATAGTCTTTTTTTTCTGAAGATATTTTACCACCTCATTTTCAGTTTATAAATCTAAAATAATCATCATACAATATCCCTGTTTAAGTGACTTACCCTTGGCGAAACCCAGGCTTGTTGAAAAAGGCAGTTGTTATAAGATATACGGTTATATTGTATGGTATTTCTGTGGTCCCGTAGCTTGTTGACTTAGTCAGTCATCGGCTTGCTTAAATTTCAAAATTGATCGTGAATTGACTTGTGTTGGAGAACCACTGAAGACTAGCAGGGAGTCCTGGAGAGCTGTTTCGTTTTAGTCTTAGGAAATCTTTAGCAGTACGCATTCAGGATCTTCAGGTTATAAGGCAGTTCCGTAGACCATTTAGTCAGTGGGACAGAACCCAATGGCCTTGAACTACCTGGGTTCGACCCCCCATATCGATAGGGACATGAATATGCACTGCTGACGAGTCCTACGCAAAAACTAAACAACTGTTCACTACTCTCTGGTATCCGATGGTTCTTTAACTAAATTTAGCTCGTGATCAGTCTTGAAATCCATCAAATCCCTGCAAACTAACACTTGCCTAAATTTTTTTGATTTTTCTCATCTTCTGAAGTCTTTGTAGCTTGTCAGTGCTTTCCAGTTATCAAAAGATTATTCCTCTTTCCTTGTGATACTATCCTACAATTGCTTGTTGGCCTAATGTCTTTTAGGTTGCTTTCAAAGAGTAGGGTTGTTTATTGTACAGTACATACTGCTGCTTATTTTAAGGCTTCAAATAAAATCTAGTCTACTAACATTTGTAACAAACAGTTTTTAGCAAATTCACAAACGATTTCAAGTTCATAAATATTCAAAAGTGTCGTGTAACCACTTACTAACTCTAATGTTCTCATATGTTTGAAAGTAAACACAGTCCTCTCTTCGTTATGATTCCTCCAAGTGAGTTCACGGTCATATGAAAGCTTCTTCTAAAACAGTTATATGATGATTGTTCATGCTTTTCGTGTCACACATGTGTGTTCAACAAAGTTGGAGAACAGAAACAAATGTTCGACTTTTATCATTCGACTATTGGATAACCATTTATTGTGTATTTGCTTATCTATCAAAGACCTAAACAAGACAAGTAATCATTTCTGCTATCACGTCTATCACCCACATCTTGGAAGTCTTGTGGAGTCCATATTGGGTAGAGCTGGGGGGGGGCTGAGAGCAAACCCGAACTGTTCATTTCTTTCCTATTCCTCTGTTAATAACATCCTTGAAGAGTAGGTTTTGAATTAATGGATAGGAGGACTGTTATAAGACGTAATATATTGAACCTGGGGGATATTTTCCCATCTAGTTGCATGAAATCATGTGCTTTATTCAGCAGTGACTTGCTATCCGTTCGTTGTTTAGCAGGCTGTCATCCACCCTGTCTTTTTTCGACTGAAGTAGAGTTCCAAGCTGCGTTTATTTTTTGATAATCAACCGCGTGAACCAGTAATCCTTTTCTTCACAGTTAGAAGGAGAAAAACATTTCAGGCAGAAGGACTAACTAGTACGAAATAATCAGGTTTTTTTTCCACCTACCAGATAGATGTTAGTGCCTCATGGTATTATCTTTCTTGACTTAAAGGCTGTACTTCAAACTCAGTGGACTAAATTTCATTAACGCTGCATCAGTTATCATATATATATATATATATATATATGCGTATTCGTAACCTGATTGTTTTTTATACTTAGGCTATTGTAACTTTGTTCGGGCATACAGTAAGCCTTTGTTGTGTTTGTTCGTGTTTAGTTTTCTTCTTCTTCTTTTGTTCGTTTATGCAAAAGATTGTGCTTGAGTTTGTTTGTTTGTCTTTCAATAAAGTGCTTTTTTTGTCTGGTTTTCAATTATTTCATAATCGTTTCGGCTTTCTATGTATTTAACTGTGCGTAAATCTTTGGATGTAACAATAAGTGTAACTTTTGTTGTCGTAGAATTAACTCTGAAGCAATTTTAAGAACAGAAGAATTTTATGCGTTGGTGGCACAGCGGTAGAATGCTCGCCAACCACGCCTCATATGCTTCAGGGTTCGATTCCCGCCCACCAACGCACTCCTTTCTCCTCGTTAATAAACCAGTAAGACTGGTAGAGAGGGGAGGTTGGACATGAGACTAGCATCTCCATCCCGTTAAAGTAAACACCAGTGCTACCGGAACTTCAAAGCTCTGGCTTGAAGCCCTATGTTCCACTGGGAACGTAAAGGAATTATAGGAAAAACATGGTTGAATGTTTGCTGCTTTTTTAATTCAAAATAGTAAGTTTGCTAACCAAGAGATGTGCCACAGAAAACCTCACAGTTTGTGTGAAGGTTGGCATACTTTTGCTCAGAGGCTCTTACTGCTGCTGCTGGATTCAACATAGAACTTGGCACCGAAGTGCACCAGTTCGAGTTGCCACGTTCCAAATAGCACACAAAGGCAGACAAGAAAATGAGTGTAGAGAATCAATAGAGTTTTGACAAGTATAAGAGTGAAACAGAAGGAGTAATGGTAGAGAAGAATATGAAGGTTAAAGAGACTGAATACATTTGCGTAAGCCATTGACAACGATTTTGAACCATGTCACCTATTGTCTCCAGCCATTGATGATTCTTAGAGTCCCGAGGGCCCCAACCCGGAAGTCTGCATCTCCCTACCTGACTCAGTTTAACTGTCAAGGATTTCATGGATTGATTGATGCCATGTTTTTGTTTGGCCACCACTTACTCTTTTCCAATCTGCACCTATATCAGCTAGTAATGCCCGTCCGTCGTGGGAGGCGATGGTTAGGCATGCGCAGCAGGTGACCTAGCCATCTCAATCTATGTAACTTTATAGCCTCTTTGATTGTTTTTCCCTCTTTGACCAACACTCTACGCCTAAAATCAACATTACTTACCTTATTATGCCACCTAACGTGAGAAAGAGATCGTAGACATCTATGATCAAAAACAGTCAACCTTTTCATGTGTTCAACTCGTATTGGCCATGTTTCAGAGCCATAGAGAAGGACGGAGAGAACTGATGAGCAGTACACATGTCCTTTGGTTGATAGCCGGATGTCACGCCTACGCCAGAGACGGTGTAAGTTAGCGAAAGCAGCCCGAGGTTTCTGGATCCGTGCTGTGATTTCGTCACCAATCAATCCATTGGTGCTGATACAACTTCCCAAATAGGTGAAGTGGTCAACATGTTCTATCACTTCACTCCCTATCACTAAGCTAGGAGTTGACGTAGTCCAGTCATTCCTGTTGCAGCATCTTACATTTCACAGGGGCGAATCGCATACCAAACATATGAAGATTGCTGCTCAAGGTGTTCAGAAGACTCTGCTAGATTTTGTCAGCGTCCTCCCCTAACAGGACTATGTCGTCTGCGTATTCTAAGTCCATAAGACTATTCCCTGGTAGCAAGTCGAGGCTCATACCGAATTAGGTGTTTCTTTGTACCCCCAAGCCCTCCTCCCATGGTTTCCGGTGGCCTAACCAGGTTCTGGTGTAGTTGTGTACTCTTAGTTCTGGATGCTGTAGTGGCGAAAGCTTCATTGTCTTACTAGACAACATCCTCAGCGAATACTTCGATTTGAAGTACGCTTTTAAAATTCTCCACCAGTTTACCAGTCATCTCTCTCTCTGATAACCTTCAACGCGATCGCTTATTTAAAAAAAATATATTCTCACCCTCTAACCCACTTGTGTTGGTGTTATTGCTTTGACAGAAAATATTGACGTTTTCTTCATGTGATTTCCTTTCTATGGATTGATAAATCTTGTCTATGTGTCAATGTATCTGTTGATTCCAGACTCACCTGAACATCATACTTCTAGAAATTCTCCGGCATTTTTCTAGTGGATATCGCATCTTTTCACAGCCAGCTTGTGTTCATAGATACGAAGACAAAGACCGCGTCAACTTTGACCAATTTAATTTTTTCTAAGTTGTTGCAAAGTGTCTTTTTCTTCTAACTAGGGCAATAATACCAATACAAGTGGGTTAGAGGGTGAGAGTATACTTTTAATAAAACAAGTGATCGCGTTGAAGGTGATCAGTGAGAGAGAAAGAGAGATGACTGATAAACTCGTGGAGAATTTTAAAAGCTTACTTCAAATCGAAGTATTCGCTGAGGATGTTGTCTAGTAAGACAATGAAGGCTTCGCAACTAAAGCATCCAGCTCAGCGAGAGAACACAGCGATGCCATAAATTAAGCCAGAAACTGTGGGAAGCGGGTGAGGAGATGATCCTTTAAGACGACTATCACCTAGTACTGTTAGAAAGTGCGTTGTCAGAATAACTAGATTTTTGAGAAGCGATATGTAAACAAACTACAGTATTTGGTCTTTAAGCATGGGGGGATGTTGCTTATTGATCTGAGTACTCGATTTCCAACTGAGAGATCACAGATTCGAATCCCACCCCATCTAATTCAACCTGTGTAACTGATTGACACCATAAGTGTGACTCACAGCCGCCTGGTACATAAAAAGTATGCTTCAAGTAGCTAAGTTCTAACATCTGATCCGTATAAAGTGTGTATTCATGTTATTATATGTTCATTAGGTCCATATCAAATTTGGAGTTGAACGCATGATGTATACGTCTTTAACTAAAGACTCACTCCGCTATGATGAGTAACCCAACTTATTAAACTTTTCCCTTTTTATAACTTAAGATTGATTAATAAACTTGATAATGTAATGCTTGTATTAATCGAGTATTCCTGAGGTTTGTATAACATTCTGCTTCTTTGATAATATGGCACTTCTAGGTAGGTTTGTTTGACGTCCTGGTGATACGTACTATAGGACTGATCCATAGAAGTACGATCGGTGGCATAGCGGTTAAGACGCTCGCCGACCATGCATATGGTCCGGGGTTCGATCCCCGACCGGCGCACACCTTTACCTCACTAAGCCAGAAATAAAGCTGGTGAAGAGGAAAGGTTGGGCATGAGACTAGCAACCCCATCCTGTAAAAATAAACACTGCTACAGAAACTTCGAGCCTCTAGCTTGAAGCCCTATGTTCCACTGGGAACATGAAGGAATAAATAAATAATAATAAGGTAGGTTACCGCAAGGATTTTGTCACACAAAAATTGTCATAGTTGTATGGAGTGAAGTCTTCTCTGATACGTACTCCATCTCTAACTAAGTGTTTTTCTCTTGTTCTACCCGTGATCACTTGCTTCCGTTACCTTCTGATTGTGTATTGAAGAAGTCAGTTTAAAGCAGGTGGCTAGATTATCTATCATTGTTATTCAACGGGTTTGACAGCATATGACAGTGGGAAAACTGATTGCAAGAGGAGATAGACTTACTAATTGAAGAAGACAAGACAGTAAGGACTGAAGGTTTGTAAATCGAGCTGGTTATGATTCAGAGTCAATCGCATTGGCAGAGAACATGTGTATTTCTGTGTTTCATTTTTACCTCAAAATCCAATACCATGCCTCTTTTATTCGCTGTTCCATAGGCATTTTGTGTAATTCTCTACTGTTGTACTACCTTTCTCATTTTCTTTTCATCCTTCCTTTTGCTTACTCTTTAAATGTGTAGATGTTTGATGTTTTGCAGTTTGTGTTGTGTTATTGTAGCATCATTACCAGGGACAGACGCCTTGGGTCAATGATCCTAATTTTTTCGTGCTTTACTAAAGCTTGTGTAACTGCATATAGAGTAGGTCACACTAATATGTGTAGGTTGTAGGTCCTCCTGTATGTAGTTACCTGATATGGCTCATTAATTTAGGCTCTCTACAATTTCACCCAGTTGGTCCCAGTTCCGAGTCTCTCTCTCTCCACCTATTTTAATCTAGATGACAGCTGGAGAGTGTCATCATTCTTTACATAATAATCATGGAAAATACCCATCGGGACATTAGATTGAAAAAAAAAACAGGAAGTTCAGCAAAGACAACTATCTTTTCGGCGATTTCATTCTCAAAAGCAGCTGTACAATCGCATTTAAATACACTACTTTACATGGATACAATTATTATTTATTTAATTCCACATAGTAGCGAAGGAGATAATAATTTTCAACTTGTTATGAAAGCTTGAAGGTACTAACATAGATTACAAGGGGCTTAGAGACAAGATTACATAGGATTAGAAAACAGTTACAACGTATGCAAAATTAATATTTGATAACTGGAGAAATAATTTTAAAGGTGAATAAAAGGTGACCATTGTTATTTTCAACTTGATATGAATTACAAGAGGCTTAGAAACAAAAATTACGCAGGGATAGAACGAATTACAGGTGTGAACAAAATGAGCATGGAAACAAATTGAAATCAAAATTTTCAACTTGAAATGTAAGTTAGGAGGTGTGAATATAGATTACAAGAGGCATAGAAACAAAATTACACAGGATTAGAATATAAGTGTAAAATGGTTATTCTAAACGGATTACAAGTGTGATCAGGAGGAGCATGGAAACAAACTTAAAATAACTGATTTTATAACTGAAAAAAAATGGGATGAATTGAATGAAGACAAAGAGAGAAAATTACACACCGAAGGAACAAGACAAAAAAGCTGGAGGATAAGGGAACATACCGAACTAGGTCCATGGTAGTTGTAAAGGCTGGACTAGTTTCTTTTGAACACATAGCTCCGGCTTTTCGATGCATATGGCGAGAGCTTCCGCAGTACAAAGAAGTCGGAAACACACTGACTTTGGTAGATTTTTGTTTACTTTGTAAATGACTCTGAATGATGAGTCAGTTGAGATGCTGTGACATGTATTGACGAGGTGTTCAGTTATTGCGCTTCTGATTAAACCTGTGCCTCCTCTTTGCAGCCATGCTGGATGATGTTCTCTAACACGTTTTGATAAGACCCGCATAGAACGACCTATGTACCTAGTTCCGCAAGAACAGGTGAACTGATATATGCACATTGAAGTAGTCATATGCGGAAGTCTGTGCTTCCCGTTGCTCCGAAGTAGTGGGCGGCTAAAGAATATCACTGTTAGAGTTGCTGCCGGAAAAGTCTTCTTCAGGGAATTGGAGATTCTCCTTTTAAGCATATCTGCTGCTAGGTCTCCCGTGAATTCCAGATTCAAATAAAGTGTTTTCTTTGGCACTGAAGTGTATTCTTCTCTTTTTGGCCTTGGTTTCATGTTCTTCTCCACTAAACGCGGTGGGTATCCACATAATAAGTGTAGCGCCTAGCCTCTTTTTCATTTCTTGTTGTATTCCAAGTGGAACATGGAGCTTCAAAGTCTTGAAGCCTTAACATTTCAGTAGGTGTGATGATTTCTCCCTCCCCTAGTCCCAATTTTCTGGGCTTTCTATCGATTAGTAAGCCGGAGACGAGGTATCAGAGTGTGTCGGCTGGGAATCGAATCCAGGAGCACGTACTTGCGCGTTGTTGGGTGAGCAGTCTACACGACACTACACTACACACTACTGAAGCATCGGTGCAGCTCATAGCCGGGTATACTGTGAAATCTGTTTTTGTGCAACCGAGTTTCTAACAACCAACAGTTTACTGATGATGATATGTACACTTCTTTTTTGTTTAAATGTACGTTTATGTGCTCTTGACATGACACAACATCCAATCCTTTTTGTTGCTATTATTATTATTGTTTTTTTCTTTTTGACTTTCTCATTTTAAGGATGAAGATGAGTCGTCATGTCATACTGGTCCACAAGATCCTAATAAAGATGATACTAATGATACGGATATTACAAAAGATTTCGATGATCCAGAACCACCGAACAAAGTGACGCCTATAACAACAACACCAGCTGCTAATGGTTCCGGATTCAATGCATCACGACCAACACGAACTGGCAACAACAATAGTAATACTAACACTTTGCATAGTGGTGGCGGTGGTGGTGGCGGTGGCGATCTAGGTACTGGAAGATCACTGTTCGATCTAGATGAAGACAATGATACAGGTGATGGTGTAGATGGTGGCGGAATGAATGAATATCATGCTGGAATGAGTGGAGGTAATGCAGTTTAGTGTGCTTGCGTGTATGCGTGTGTGTTGTGATCGTATCTTTTTATCGTGTTTTCTCCCCCATCCCCTTCCTCAAAGAAACTGGACGAATTTGTGCTATTCAGATTGTCACTCTTCGCTATCCGGATCCTACATGAGATCATATGCATATTATTCCGTTGGGTTCCTAATGGAACATAGGGCTTCAGCAGCAGCACACCTCTCCATTTCACTCTGTCCTCCCCAGTCTCTAAGCTGGCTTCTCGACGGCACATAAGCTTTCATTTCCTCTTCACACGATCTTCTCCATGTTACCGTTGAAGTGACGCCCAGCTCATCGTTTCCCATTTTGATTCCACTCAAATGGCCTTGCGCACGATGTCGCCCAACAGTCTCCTTAATGTGTGTATCTGATCCATCTCCATTTTCTTTGGCATATTAGTTGGGCAATAGCTTCTTGGCAGGTTTGCACTCAGCCAGGATTCACATTGTTGCTTATCCTTTCTGTGAAATTTGGTTCTTATTCCTTACTCTGAGTTCAGTAGATTTCCACACTGATTCTAGATTAATGTAAGTCTGTGTTGCATCTCTGATCCTTCCTACATTTGACATCCAAATCCTCTCCGTTTGCAGTTGAAGTGTTTCTGTCTAGATAAGTGAAACTGGTGACTTCATTTACACCAATAATTGATTCAAAACGCTTTAATTCTAAAGACTATGATCTGATTGTTGCCGAACGATTTGCATCACTGAGAAGAAATCCGGCTGTTTTCTAGCTGAGTTAAACAGAGAACACAGCTGATGAACTCAGTCTCAAACGAGCGAACCGGCCATCCAGTGGTGTTTAGACAGCTTCGATAATCTGGCTGGTTAACCGAGCAGTACTGGTTGGTGTAACTACTCATGTCAATCACAATCAGTAGTATATATAGCATCACAACTGAAAAGTAATTTTCCTATCTTATTTTACGTGTATCTGTTGAATTCAAAGCTAAAAATATTCATTCAGATATCTGTGAAACACATAATAATCGAGCAAAGAATATTCTTTTCGATAAATTCCTCTGAGTACTGCTGCTGAGTACTTTTGTGGGTTCGCGCTATTGCCAATCCATTAGCGGCTTTTATTATTGATACGCTTGCTCTAGAGCTTGTTGCTAATTAACTGGTAAAGGTGTTACCGTGTTTTGTCTGACTGCTGTTCCTATACTTATGTTCTCATAAATGAAGGAAAAGTCCAATGTCTGATGTCAGAAAGGATCTGATAGTAGAACTTGACACTACTACCCCAATGCTCTTAACTGTTTCATCTCACATTGTGAGAAGACTAGATGAAGATAATACCGTCAAAATGTTGTCACAACGTTAAGTCGTTGATTTAATTAAAACAAACTTGGTACATAATGAGCACCAAAAGAGATACACCACGCAAATTCTCATAGTTTTGAGTGGCGGTGAGAATACTGCCCGAACTCCCTGACTGAAGCAGGTGGCCACCGCCCGCCGAGCCTTCCATTTGAGGTCTGTCGAGCTGCGTTCTCATGTTGATGGTGACCAAAACAGGTTCATTCATACACGCCATTTGATCACTTCGCGGATTCTGTGACCTATTTACGCCATACGTTTGAAATCAAAGTTGTCCAGTTCCCCTAAGTAGACCTACAGCAAGTGTCCCAGTTCGATTGTTTAATCGCCAGACGTTCATATTCATCCTTTTACTTTTGTGTGGAACACACGTGTCGCCGCGTGAAGGCAGTCAGTTGGACATACCTAGCAGAGGCTATGAACACGTGGCCCCATGCGGACATTTCGACAAGAAGACCGAAGTCTACCCACCGTTTGGCGTATCAGGTTGTTTACGAAGCTGATCCCAATATGCTGTGATTAAAGACAGTATAAATGTAGAAATGATTGAGAAGATTTGTAGCTCAGGTGATGGATGATTTTGATGTAGATGTGTTCTCTGAGCTGGACAGTTTATTCGCGAAGCTTTCATTGCCCCACCACTAGGCAACATCTTCAGTGCATACTTCAATTGGTGGAAGTGAGCTTTTAGATTTCTCCACGAGTTTATTTATCATCTCGCCTGGTGATCACCTTGAACGTGATTGGTTGTTTTTGTGTGTTTTCACACCTCCTAGGCTACTTGTGTTGGAACTGATTGTTTGTTTGACTTAAACTTTGACCCTTTGTGTGTGAGGTTTCTTTCTTGTCGGTTGATAAACTTTGTCTATCTCAATGTGTCTATTGATTGACTATTCACTAGAATACCAAACAGCCTTCTAAAAATTCTCTAGCATTCTTGGTGTTTCCCCTGTCTAGTATTTGAACGTTTTCCCAATCGAATTGATGTCCGTGGTTGTTAGTTTGCAGCTATATGAGGGTGTAGATATCATGTTTTTTGACGGTTAGTTTATGTTCATGGATACGAAGACGAAGGGGACGTCCACTTTGCCCAATGTAGTTGTTACAATTTATTTTGGTTTTATCTCCTTTCGTTGTTGAGTCTTTTGGTTGACACAGTTGAGTTGAGTGGAGTGGTTTTGTTGGTTTGTGTGCGACATGAATTCCTAAAGGTTTGAAGAGTCTTGAAGTGATTTCTGAGGGATCCTTTATATATAGTAGGGCGATTTTCTCTGTGCTTTCCTTGAGGACCTTCGATTTGCTTGGTTGGCTTGGGGGTATATGTCATTTGATGAAATTCCGTGGATATCCATTCTTTTGGAAGACGTCCATGAGATACCTTTCTTCAATTTTCCTTAGGGTGGGAGTGCTGCAACGTGCATGTACCACTGCACCTATAGATTTCAGTTGTTTCATGAATACCAATCAGATAATCCACCTACCTGGGAGCATCGTTTCAACTACAGGCGGAACTGACGAGGATATCAAAGCAAGAATCAGAAAAGCAAGACAAGCTTTCACTACTCTCAAGTCTCTGTGGAGGTCAACAACACTCAGCATCAAGAATAAGATCCGGATTTTCAACTCCAATGTGAAGTCAGTGCTACTATACGGATCAAAGACTTGCACTGCGCGTCATAAAGGGCATCTCAAACAAATTACAGACCTTCATTGACAGTTGTCTTCGCTCAATACTCAAGATCAGATGGCTGGCCAGAAAAGATCAGCAACAGGGATCTCTGGGAACGAACCAACCAGGAACCGATTGTGAAACAAATAGGTAGGAAGAAATGGAGATGGATTGGCTGGCCATACTCTGAGGAAACCATCAAGTGAGTGACATCACTAGACAAGCCATTGCTCGAGTGGAACCCGAAAGGGAAGCAGCGAGTTGGTCTTCAGTGCAAGGGTGACTTGGAGGAGATCATGTGAAGAGGAGATGAAAGCGTGTGGGCGGACATGGAGTCAGGTGAAGACTCTAGCAGAGAACCGAACGCAATGGAGACGCACGGCTGAGGCCCTATGTTCCTGTAGGAATTAAAGGATACAATAATAATAATAATAATCCACCTAAGACCCTTAACTGTATAAATATCAAACCATAACACTGTTACGCAACTGAATTAAATGCGTATCATAATGCAATCGAACTGTTTCTGATGATATGCACTTCTTTTTTTCTCTCTCTCTCTAAAAAACACATTTCAAGTCGGTGATTTAGGTCCTGGTGGCACTTCGAATCAAGGTGATGAAGGCAGTCGACAAGGTGGAATTCATACTGATTTGAGTGTTACGGAACAAGCTCACTGTATAGTGATACCATCGTATTCCGCCTGGTTCGATTACAATGCTATTCATGGGATTGAACGTCGTGCACTACCGGAGTTTTTCAATGGTCAGAATAAAAGTAAAACACCGGAAGTGTATTTAGCATATCGTAATTTTATGGTTGACACGTATCGATTGAATCCACAGGTGAGCTATTTTCAACTGATCTGATCTGTTGCTTTTTCTTTTTACTTTATCTGTGTAATGATTAGTCTATCTGTCTGTTTTCGACATAGAACTTTGCCAAATCGGACAAGAGGCATCTCGAGCCATGGATGTATGCTGTGTTTTGGAGACATGCATACAAGACCCGAGTGTGGTCATTCACTTAACCTCACCCGGTCAACAAGGTGAATTTGCAAAATTCACTTTAAGGGTGTCGGAGACCCCTCAGCTAGCTCACGAGGACTCGCAGGTGTAGGGATAGCACTGAGTGTTAGGGCAGAGAAATCACTTATTGACTGGATCCCAGTAGATAGTCGTATGTGTGCGGTCCGTCTGAATGTGTCCGTTAAAAGAAGGAAGGAGACGGCGCTATCAGTCGTTGTCTTTTCGTAGTCTCCGCTTACGCCCCAACAGACTGCAGTTCAGATGAACTAAAGGATTATTTCTACCTGAAACTGTCTAATTTGCTGCAAAAAGCAGATATAGTTGTTTTAGCAGGCGACTTCAATACCCAAGTAGGGAAGTTGTGCCAGGCTGAGAAGTATGTGGGTGGTACGTATGGAGTTCCCTGCTGACGAACCGATAACAGTGATCGTCTTTTACAGTTTTGCTCAGATAATCATCTGTTACTAGTCAGTACTAACTTTAGGCACAAAGAGAGACATTGTGTAACCTGGCGACCTCCATCACCAAATCAACACTGGACTCAGATAGACCACATAGCCATAGGGTATCGTTGGCGAGGGTCATTAGAAGACTGCCATTACTTCTGGAACACGTGCGTAGACTCTGATCACGCTCTGCTTCGCGTGTAATGATTAGATTAATCTTGAAAGCGATCAAATCTCTGCAAACCAACACTTCGACATGATTATTTATTACTTTATTCCTTTGCGTTCTGACGGTGGAACATATGGGGCGTCAAGCTTAAGCTTTGAAGTTCAAGTACCGGTGGTGTCCATTTCTTTTACGGGGTGGGGTTACTAACCTCACACTCGACATTTTCTCTTGACCAGGCTTACTACCGCCTAACCGAGGTTAAGGAGTGATTGCTCCGGCTGAGGGTCGAACCCCGGGCTACATTAGGCGTCTTTGGCCAGTATTCTACCACTGAACAAACCATCAACGGACTTCGAAATTAGTTTAGTGCGTGCTTACCAGTGCTCAATGACTACAGGATAAGGTTGCCTGAAGTTGTAGTCTGAGAAGTGGTAACCAGTGGAGTAGATCAAGTTGAGTGTTGGAACAAATAGATGCTGGGCCACTGGCTGTCTGTCGCGATATATTTATCGCGAATTGGCATAAATTAGAATTCACGGGTCACTGGATCCCCCACCCTAGTGGTAGAATGTTTAACAAGCTCGTCTAGCTACCTGAAGGTTCTGGGTGTGTATGAAGTCGTTGGTGCGTAGCACCGAAGAGACCCAAACTAGGACAAAACAGTTGTCTAGTACTCTCTCCCTCTAACTGAAGTGAGTTTATGATCAATCTTGAGATAAATCAAATCCCTAGAAACCAACACCTGAAAATAATTCATTTTACCTGTGTGTGTGTGCAAAGTTAAATGCCATTGGTTCTGTTCACACTATCGTTTACCACCGTCCATGACAGTTGGATAATTGTACCCTGTAGATATATATATGTGTATGCTTCATTTCAAATTAAGCTTCTGGTCGTGAAGTGTTTCAGACCACAGTACATCTCCTAACGCCTTGTAGATCAGTAGGGTCGATCATATAAAAATTGTGTCCACTACGTGCTGACATTTCCATTTTACAATCAGTTCTCTGCGCTGATTGGTTTGTTCTCGAGTGGTCGAAATGACCGCTTGGTGTTGAGATTACTTCGTTCTGGTCAGCAAGCACTGACATTTGATATGCTAATGGCTGGATTTCAACATGGAACTTTGCATAGAAGTGCAACAGTTCGAGTTGTTATCACACAAAAGTAGAGAAGAAAATTCAAAAGAAAGACAACGGGAGAAATAATTTAGTGGAGAAACATGAAGAACTGATAAATCTGGGTGGGGGGGGATCACATAAACTGAATGCATCTGTACCATCTGAGAACAGTTGTGAACCATATCATCAACAGTTTGAAGTCATTGATTCTTAGTATCCCCGGGACCCGAACTAGAAAGTCTATATCTCCCTATGTGGTTGGCTCAAACTAACAGTATGCTACTTCATCAGTTGATTCTAGGTTTCTGTTTGACCCACCTCTAACCATTTCGTAATCTAGTCCTATATCAGCCGTCATCTCTCGATGAAGACGGTGGCTTGGCACACCTAATATACGTGTCCATGCCATCTTCATCGATGTAGCTTTATAACCTTATCGACTGACCAACCATCCTGAAATAACTCTCTACTCCTAACCTCAACATTACTCAAGATGTTATACCACTTGACACGAAAATCTACCTCTTCAAGTCTTCCTTGTTTCGATGACTATATCTCACAGCTATAAAGAAGGACAATGGAAAATACTGCGCAGTATACAGTCAGACACCAAACGTCTACGGTAGACATGACTTAAATTGTCAAATTTCACATGAGCCTTTTGTATCTATGCTGAGATTTGGTCAGCAATCAGTAGTCCTTTGGGGATGATACAACTTCCCTAATAAGCGAAATGGTTCAAACGCTCTCTACCACTTGACTCTCCCTCCCTATCTGTAAGCAGCTATACAGTCAACGTAGTCTAGTCCGTCAGCATCATCTTGCATCTGACAGAGGTGAATTGCATGTCGAACGAACAATCGAAGATTTTTGCTTAAGGTGTCCAGGAAACTCTGTATTTCATCAGGATCTTCACCTAGGAGGTCAAAATATCATCCGCATCATACTTAAAGTTGACAAGTATTTGATAAGAGTGGTGGTCAACTACTCATATAAGTAAATCAGTAGTATACAGCGTTACGCTTAATTTTAATGTCATTCTTACTAAGGGTAACTAGTTGTACTTTTGAAGTATATTTCCTGTTTCCAGATAACTACTTAAAAAGTTATACATTGTCATTTTATATCCAGTTCATTATTTCTTTAATTCCTTTTTTTCTCTCTAGGAATATCTTACCTTCACAGCCTGTCGACGTAATCTTACCGGTGATGTTTGTTCTATCCTACGTGTACACGCCTTTTTAGAACAGTGGGGTTTAATTAATTATCAAGTGACAGCTCCATTGACAACATCAACTAGTGGTAGTGGTACACTGGGTGTATCAGGCGGTGCAACAGAAGCAGCACGACTAGCTGTTGCAGCGAGTTTAGGCCCCCCGAGTACAGCACATTTTCATATACTGGCGGATAGTGCCAGTGGTCTACAACCGATCGGGAATCAAAATGTTGTTGCAACAAGCACAATTGTGTCAACTAGTGGTGGTGGGGCAACAACAACTACAACTTTGACGGATGGTGGACAATCTGCTGTTAAAGACAATAGTACTAATAATAATGGTAATGTTGCCGCGGCTACCTCTATTACTTCTACAAATAATGAAGTTATTACAGTGTCTACTAGTTCAACTAAACCGGAATCACAAGTGAGTTTAGAAGGAGTTCCTCATAAATGTTCACTGGTGTGTTAAACACTTTATCATTATTATTCCTTTGGGTTCCGAGTGGAACATCTCCATATCATCCTATTCTCCGCAGTCCTTTGTAGCTTTGGCTTGGTGTGGACAGCAGAATTATTCTGCGCTAGTTTTCTCAAAGGTTCAAGGTAGCCTTCCTTTCAGTCGGTAGGTAGCCTGTTTTCCTTCCTCCCAAACTTTCTGCAGTAGGATATCCACTGAGGGTCTATTTGGATTCATTTTCAGCGCCTCCAGAGGAATCCCCTCTGGTCCTGTTGCCTTTCCAACTGGCTTCCAGTAGTTTTATGGCATTCAAGACATCCGCCTTTGTCGGATGATTTGGTTTTCACTGACAGTTCTGTGTTTGTTGGTTGTGGTATTTCTAGACAAGCTGTTGGTGGTGTTGATCGTTTCAGGAATCCTTTGAAGTGATCAGGCCATTTGTTTCGTGTGTGTGTTGATCTCTTCCGCGATAGCTACCGGGTTGTTGGGTATAATGATCTGAGGTTCCTTTTTCCCGAAGCCTGTTCTGTTTTAGTTGCCAATGTGTCGTAGAATTGTCTTTTATCTATTTCCTAGCACTCTTTTTCACCCCTTTTTTATTCAGTCCGTTGTAAATTGAACTCAATTTTACCTATGAATAATTATTTCTGTGTTTGTTTGTCTCTCAAGTTCAAATCCCCGAATTATCTTACTCGCCCACACACTACTGTTACACCATGCTTAAGTTTAATTCCAAATTGACTGGACATGGTGGCGTTCGCCTGTAATGTAGCTACGTAGAGGCTAACGTGCGGAATTTCGCGGCACGGGGAGTTCTGGCATATGAGAGCTTATGTTGATCAGGCGTCCACGCTAAGCGTGGCACCGATATGGATGTCAGAGGGTGGGTTGTCCAGGTCGACTAAGGTCGGTCGGTCGGTTTTCGACATAGAACTTTGCACGTATGTGCGGCAGTTCAAGCCACCACACTCCATGTAGCACACAAAGCAAGAGAAGAAAGTAGGAGAAATGCATAGTATAGACAATAAACAGAGGTCGACTTAGAGGGGGGGCAGACCGACCCAGTGGGGAGACCAAGCAGACAATAATTCGTTGCCAGTTCTCCTATTAGCAACAGCTCTATTCCAAACAGCAATTTGGACACGGTGTAAAATCTTCAGGATGTAGTACAAAATATTGTATCTAATTTCCTCTTTGCATAGTGCAGGGTGATCTAATTAAACAGGGCATTTACAACATTGATAATATTGTTCAAAAGAATATGAACATAAAATTAAAATGTAAGTGGAAATATTGTTAACAACATATTAATGATTCGAGGAATAAATTGCCGTTTATTTGCTGTTTCTTAATAAATTCGGTGGTTTCACGCCTAACACCACTTTTTTCATCATATAAAATGCACCCCTGTCCAATAAAGTAGTATCGTAGAGTTTTCATACTTAGTCGTCTGAGCATAAAGTCTCTTCTAATTGTTTCTAGTCCTACCTGATAATATCCAATTCAAGAGTTGTCTATGAAGAGGATGCTCAGAGTTCGACAGGATGATTGATATTCTCAAGTGTCTATCTGCAGTAGTATTAACAAGTGTTTGGCCTAGCGACACCCCACTCACCCTACCGACAGCTTTTAGTGCCCTTCTTTCTTAAGTAGTAGCCCAGGGGAGAGAATAGTAAAAGAAAAGAATAGGTAGCATACAAGAAGTAACAAACTATAGCACTAGAGACTGAGACTGATACCAGATCGTCTTAGCTTCCTTACGTTGAAAGTTCAACAGATTACTCGCCTGTCTACCAGTTCTTCTCCATGTTACCCTCGAAACGACACTCATCGCGTTGATTTCCAGTTCGGTTTCCCACGAGGATCTGGTGTGTAATGTCATTTCAAGATTTCCTCAGCGTTATGTTCAATCCATCTCCATTTCCTTCTGAAAAAATTGTTTTTGGCAGAGTTCCTTGTTGGTTTTCTTTTCTTATCGGCTATCTGATCTTCAGCATTGAGCAGCCGGTGAAGGCATCTGTCCATGAGAGTGTGTAACCTGTTGGAAATTTAAACTATATACTCTACATGAATACCGAAGTCCTAGTTATATTATCTTAATAGTGTTTGGGCTTATTTTTCCGGACTCCCTCAATTATCAACCATAACTGGGTCACTTGTTCGAAATCCAGGTTAACAGACAACTAGCCCTCACACAATAGATACGTAGTCTTATTTCTAATCTTTCAATCTTTTATTTCTTTGCAGGGAAATGAATTCACTGGCACCTCGGTAACGATATCGTCAGCCTCGACCACAACATCGACAGAAGCAGTCAACACTGCACTACCAACTGTCTCAGCAGCAACAACAACAACAGCTATCAACAATTCTAGTGCTACAAACATTACTGCTAATAACAATATTAATAATACACAAGTAGGAGTAAATAAATTACCGACAATCGGTGATCCAGCTTTACGAACAGATCAATATCTTGCCAATGCAAGTATTAACAAAGCCACTGGCGGTTTACTAGATAATCGTAGTCAGTCTGCTACTACTACAACGGCTACATCAGATACAGTGCCACCACCAACATCACAAGCAACAGTTGTTAATACTAAACTGCTTAAAGGTGCTACACAAAGTGGTTGGACAGATCAAGAGACTTTGTTACTACTCGAGGCTTTAGAACTATATCGGGATGATTGGAATAAGGTAGGTTTGTTTTTGTGTGTGTGTGTGTCGCTGGCGTATATCTTTCTAATCACTACTACTATTACATATACACACATGTCTGAGTTATTTAAAGCCATGTGTCCCCATGTATCTGATTACTGCAACTATGATTGAGTTATTTGGAACATCGTGACTCCACCAATATGAGTTCAAGGTTTGAATCCCACCTCCCCCGACAACAACAACAACTTCATCTACTGCTCTCACAAATTGAGTGTGATTCACTGCCCCTAGTACTGTGGAAAATCGGCTTCGGGTGTTTCTAGAGAGTTCCAACCAACTGACATAAACAGCTTCTTAAAGTTCACTGTAGACAGGTGTTACTAGTGTTGCGATTTTTGTTCGCCATTTGGAAAGTAATTTTGATTGCAAACTAATGTTAGTAATGCAACTAGTAAAATTCAGGAGTTAATGTATGAATCTATGCACCCCCTCCGTGATGAAATCAATACTAAAACCTTCAAGTTCCTCTGTGAGCGTTTTTTGTCTCTCTCCATATAACCGTTTATAAAAACTGGTCCGTAGTATAAAGTGGAACCATTCTTCATGTGTTGTCATTAAGCATTGGTCCTCACTACCCTATTTTACTGAATGTTGTATAGATTAGAGCTTATATTATTGCTGGGAAAGATTTGTGTACTTTTGGAGGTTTGCGAGCAGTCACTACTTCTTGGCGGCTGCCCATACTATGAAAGTTGCTTTCTCCTTGGGGTACTTGAAACTAAAACAACATTGTTGTTGCGTGACCGCAAGGCCTAAGGGATAATTGCTTGAAGCCGGTCACATATGGTCTGTTTGAGCTGGCCTTTGGAGATCTCACTCTCGGCTATAGACCGGGATGTATAACTTTCGGGGTAAACTTTTCCTAACCCCTCTTTCTAGAGCGGAAAGATAGCATAGCTTACTTGCTGGTCATCTAAGGGTAACACCCTACTAGTGTGACATTCCTATTATTCACCAGCAGTACCACGTCACCCACAGACATTATGATAATAAGTACTTTTAGTCTAACCGCTATCTGAACAACCTTTCTGATATGTTAGGACCCGCGGGAACATTAGCTCTAGGAAGTGTAACTTGTTTGGTCATTGCCACATGCAAGCTTGATCACCCTTTTAGGGTAGCTAGGTACTCCCGACCGAAAGCTGCTACCTTGACGTGGTGGTCGGGCTTGCATATCGCAATGACCCAACGAGCTACACTGGCTGGAACTTAAGTTCCTGTAGGTCCTACCATGCCAGAAAGGTTGTTTGGATAGCGGTTAGACAAAAAGCAGCTACCCAGTCCAATGCCATGACTCAAACAAAAACACAAAATATCATGCCGGATCGGTCGGGGCCCGGATTAACAACGACCGCGCTTCTTGCTGCCGTGTCACAGGGCAGAAGTGATAAATATGCTATTGAGACACACCAAATAAAAAACAACAAACAAAAACAGGCCGTGTGTGACCGGACTCAAGCAGTTGTCCCCTGGGCTCTGCGGTCACGTAACCAACTTCCACGGTGTGGGCAGCCGGGAAGTAGCAATCGCCCTCACAATCCGAAGTGCACGCGAAACCTCTCTAATCCTCACTCACCTTTGTCTTCATCTTCATCTCTATTATCTTGCCTTCCTTCTACTAATGCAACTCCTCTACTTAATGGCTCTTCACTTCCTCTTCACTCTGTGTGCACTGATAACGACGGAAGCCAAAAAGCCACCATCGATAGTCTCCTAAAGCCACGCCACCAATTTCATATAGGAGCATCTAATGTTAGGACACTTTTCCAAGTAGGACAACAAGCATTTTGCCGCACATATGTGCAAAGTTCTATGTCGAAAACCGACCGAGCTAGGTACTGGTCAGGGTACCAGAAGAAGCCTGTCTATTGGGGTTCTTTCTGTGTTCGACTGAACTGTCTTATAATGAATATACCCCTTGTTTATAAACCATTTGCCTTTAACTATTTTTCTTCATTCTTATTGTGTTCATATGGGAGCTTAGAGCTTCAGGCTTCTGAAGTCTCAGTAACAGTAGTATCGTTTTCACGGTTGAGGTTGCTATCCTCACACCTAACGTCACCCGTTTTCTGGGCTTATTTGCCGGCTATTAAAGTAGGCGATATTTTTTAGGAGTTTCGACTAGGAGTGGAACATGAACCGCCTGCGGGCTTGGTGTGAGCATTCTACCATCGAACCACCATCGTGACAGTTTTCAGCTCTAATATATCTAAATTTAGATATTTGGATACCGTTTTAACATGTTGATTATATTCATATTACAATAAGTCTATTCATCACACAAATATGCTTTTATTATCATCGTTTATTTTTTGCCTTTTCAGGTTGCTGAACATGTCGGCAGTCGTACTCAGGAAGAGTGTATTTTGCATTTCTTACGCCTACCGATTGAAGACGCCTACCTTGAAGGCACAGATCCTATCTTGAATTTAACCTCTCTAGCGAATGCAAGTCATCCTACACCACCATTTTCAAAGACAGTGAATCCAATCTTATCGACTGTGGCCTTTTTAGCCGCTGCTGTAGATCCACGTGTTGCAGCAGCAGCTGCTCAAGCAGCACTCACCGAATATGCTAAAATGCGTGATGAAGTCCCTGCGGGTTTACTACGTGAGCATAAAGCACGCGTTGAGGCAGCCGTAAAATTAGGTCATCCAGTTGATCCACAGAAATTCGGATTGGATGAAGTCGGTGGAAGTAAAGTCAACGAGGAGTTGGAGAAACCTTGTCCACTGCCGAGTGTTGTTCCCAATGAAAAGTCAATGGAACAAGTAATATCAGTTGAAAATGAAGCTAAAGAAATTGAGCATAAGGTTAGTCAGTTATTTTAATATGAAAGGCATTTAATTTAATGTGTAATTGTGATTAAAAAAAATTGATTCAAGTGTCTGTCTGCCGGGATCTGATTGGTTACAGTTCTGATCGCGAACTGACGTTAGTTAGAGAAAGAACCATTGGAAAACCAGGGAGCGCCGGACAGTTGTTTCGTCCATTCTTGGGATCTTTCAGCATTATGCACTCACCACCACTGGGTTTCGAACCCAGGATCTTCCAGTTATATAAGGTGATCTCGTAGGATAATTCAGCCACTGTGACCTGATCCAATGGCCAATGTGACCAATTCCCACTTCTCGCAGTTTGCGATGCGTAGCACAACCACCAGCCAATGTCATCGACGAGTACCTAACTTGATGGACTCCGCTGGTCACGACTTCTCACCAGAACCCCCCAGGTGCAACTTCTTGTATAAAGCCAGTCACTAGTGGACATCAGACTAATTTTCAAGTATTGGTTTGTAGGGATCAAACTTGAAATAATGAATCATTCAAATCTTATCACATTATTATTATTATTCCCTTGGGTTCCTAATGGAACATAGGGCTTCAACTGCACGCCTCCACTTGCTTCTGTCTTCTGCTGTACTTTTCACTTGCATCCATGTTAGTCCATACTGTTTCAACTCTTCTTCACACGATCTCGTCCATGTCACCCTTGGACGTCCCACTCGCCGCTTCCCCCCAGGGTTCCACTCGAGCAATGGCCTGACGCGCGACGCCACCCAGTGGTCTCCTCATCGAGTGTCCAATCCATCTCCACTTTCTCCTGTATATTTGTTGGGCGATTGGTTCTTGTTTTGCTGGTTCCCATAGTTTCTTGTTGGTGATTCATTCCGGGCATCTGATCTTCAGTATAGAGCGAAGACAGTTGTTGATAAAGGTTTTCAACTTGTTGGAAATATTCTTTGTGAAAATCTTATCACATTGGATCGATAATTTGTTGCTCTAGGATTATCTGTTTCTTTCTGACTGACCCAGTTTCAACATAGAAATATGCACAGAAGTACAGTCGCTCAAGTCACCATACTCCATATAGCCTACGAAGATAGTGATAAGAGGAATGCAAGGAAAGTATGTGAGGAGGGGGGGGGGGAAGGAAAAGAGTAGTAACTTGGAAAAATCTAAGCGTTTAATAACGAAAAGTGAATACATTTATGCCATTGAGATCGATTTTGAGTCAAGCAACCAATAGTCTCAAACCGTTTGTTCTCAACAGCACCTTGAAGACCCTAACTATGCAGAGAAAAATTATTGTAAAAATAAATGAATAAAAGTAATTATTCCTGAAGGAATAAAGGCATTGCCGTGTCCACATGATTTGCCCCCCTCTCCGCCACTTCGAAAGAGTTCAAAGTTTCAATAGCTTAAAATCAAAGATTTAACCTACAGTAAAAATATTAATTATCATTATTCCCTTAGGTTTCAAGTGGAACACAAGGTCTCACCAGCACATCTCCATTGCATCCTGCTTTCTGCAGTCATTTTCAGCTGACTCCATGACTGCCTACAAGCTGTCATTTCCTCCTCACACTTGGATCTATGTCCAACTCATCGTTTCCTCATCGGGTTCTACTCGATAGTTTGTCTTGCGCGCGATGTCACTCAACGGTCTTTCCAGCGTGTGCCCGATCCAGTTCCATTTTCCTTAGCCTATGTGTTGGTGTAAACGACTGAAACCGAATTGCTGTCTGTGGTCTGAATACAGGAATCTGATCTTTGCCTCCTATAGAACTGTATAGACAGGTGCCACATACTGAAAAACGATGATTAAATTCCTGCATATGTATGCCGAGATTTAGTAAATCCTGGTTTAATATTACTACTATGATAAAGCTGTTAGCAGTATTAAACAGCTCCTCCTTTTATGGCTGTCAGGGAGACATGGCCATTGAAGGTGAAAGATATGAAAAGGTCAGCTGGCTACTGTCTTTGATCATAGGTGTCTGCGTTCTATCTCCGGCGTTAAGTGGTGGCATAATAAGGCGAACAATATTCAGGTTAGGCATCGGTTGAGTGCTAGGTAGTTGGGAGGGGGAATCAATCGACGAGGTTGTGAAGCTACAACAACTGAGATGCTTAAGACATGTGTTACGTATGTCTAGCCTAGCCATCGTCTTCCTCGACGGGTAGTGTTAGTTGACACAGAATCAGGTTGAAGAAGAGTTAGCTAGTGGTGGTCAAGCGAAAACTTGGTATCAGTTGATGAAATCTTAAATGGTTTGTTTGAGTCAAACACAAACACCTAGGTGGGTGCAGACTTCCTGACTGGTTGGGGGTCCCCGGAATGATAAAATCCAATGAAGGCTGGAGACAATCGGTGTTATGACTCAAAATTGCTCTCACTGGTACAGATGCATCCACTCCTTGTGATTTATGCTGTCCAATAGAATTTTATTGTTCCAACATATTACTATTCTTTTTGCCTCATATTTCTGTTTTGAATCTCTCTTTACTCTATTCTCTTGTTTTGTGTGCTAAATGGACATCTGGAGAGAGGGAGTGTGTGTGTGTGTGTGTGTGGTAACTCGAACTGCTGCAAATCTGTGCAAAGTTGAAACCAGTCAGTCAGTGTGGAAATTTCACATGTTGTTCTTTATGCTTCGTACAGTAGATTTCTGGACTGGCTTCAGAATAATGAAGACCTGTCTTCATATTAGTTTGTTTATTAGATGTATCACACAGTTAAACAGTATTATTTATCGGTTGGCGTTTCGAACAAAATTTATTGTTCATAATCAAATCATCAATTCTAATCACACGACTTCGAAACTTGAGTTTTATAGTTTCACTTGCCCTCTCCTATTTGTCGTCTTTGGAGTAGTAGAATTTTCCAGATATCTGGTTGAACAGGTGTTGAATCATTCATATTACACGTGTTAGCTTGCAGTTGATTCGACAAACAAGCTTCTGTTCCATTATGGTCAAGATTATTTTGATAAATCACACAGTGTTGTACAGTAATATTAACTGATGACGTTTCGAGCATAAACTATTGCTTCTGTTATCAATCTCTCCCTCCATTCGTCCTGTTTAATTAGATTTTAAAACTGTCATCCTATCCCATCCTTTGCTATATAATTGTGTGTAATTGCACGTAGTGCTATAGCTGAATTATTCTCTAGATTTCTTTTCTTATTTGGATCAACTAACCAATATTTTGCTAAGTTTTTCTGTTCGGCTAGTCTGACTGCCCCTGTTCTACTAGTTTGACCTGTGTATTTGACCTGACAATCATTGCAGGCAGGGTATTAGATAAACTAAATTGTTTTGTTTTAAAAGCTCCACAGGATTGATTCTGTAACCGACAAAGCTTGTTTCTAATTGAGTTTGTGCGTTTCAATGTCAGCCACTTTTATTCCGGCCTGTATTGTTAAGAATTCTGCGTAAGGTTTCCGAGGTTCCCTCCTTTTATGGAATTACTACTGATGATTTAGATTCGTTATTGTTGGTGTTGTCTTGCGCATGTTTGACATGCATGTCGTCATTAATACTACTATTACTATGATCAATATTATTATCATTATCACTATCATTGCTATCATTATTTATTTTATTTTTACCTTTCCCTACATACTTTCTGACTAATTTATCAGTGTAATTATTAAGTTTCAAGCCATCTCTTATATGTATCATTTCCTGCCTTAGATTTTCCTTGGTACTACTTAGTTTTTGTGCTCTGTCACTTAAACATTTCACCAATCCTATTTTCACTGACATAGGATGGGATGATAGGAAGTTCAAATATCTGTTTGAATATGCTTGGGTTTCCTGTAAACATACTGGTGTACTTAACTTCCCATCTTCTTTCCTTTTTACGCTGCTATCTAACATTGGAAGCTCTCCCTCCTTCCTGACTTTCCAATTCATAAGTGAATTGATGGATTGCCTCCACCTTTGAGTTAATGTGTTCGGAAAAAAATATATATATCCTGTGTTCTAAGTACAGTGAATATGTCATCTACATACCTCCATCATACTTTTGGGGTTGGGGCTCAACGTTTCAATCGCTAACTTCTCCCACCTATCCATGAATAGATATACCACAACCGGAGATATTGGTGACCTCATGACAACTCCCTCAGTTTGTTTGTATATTTTCCCTTGGAATTAGGAATGAATCAACACCTATCCACCCAGATATCTGGAGAATTCTACTACCCCAACGACGACAAATCGGAGAGAACAAAGAAAACTATAAAACTCAAGTTTCGAAGTTGTGTGATTATAATTGACATGTGCGTCGGTGGCCCAGTGGCCCGACCAAGCACATGGTCCGGGGTTTGATCCCCGGCCGACGCACACCCGATATCCATGATCGGTCTGATAAATTTGGACTACCGATATCACATACTGAAAATTCCATACTTGTATCAAAAATACCGTGTGGAGTCAAGCTATAATTAAAATTTAAATGAAAAAAATTAAAATTATGAACAATAAGTTTTGTTCGCAACGTCATCTAGTAAGTAATACTGTTTCAATGTGTGGTACATCCAATAAACAAACCAATATGGAATTACTTACTACCACAGTGCCCAAGTTTTACACATTTATTAATACGAAATACACAATATGTACCACCCCCCCCCCCCAAATGGTAGCTGCTACGAACTACACTGATTGAAAAGAATTTTCCTTCAGGTCTTATCTAACATCCCAAAAGGTCATAAGGATAGTAGTTATACTAAGGACATTTACCATTACGAGATAGGTCACTCAAGCTATGTTATGAGACTGAGGAAAACAACGTACAACTGTTGAACAGAGATGTAACAGTAACAAGTTGTTTCCATCGGAGAATCAAGAAGGCAGCTGTGCTGCCTCAACGCTCTCGTAAGCTTGGTTAGAAAAACCGGACTGCGAAAACTACACATTCTGACCTAACTTACAGCAGTCCACAGTCAATGGTAAGATTTACATACAGATACAACTCTAAGTAACCACTTCCAATAAGCCGTGTTTAACTGGTCTGGTTTCAAGCAGTGCTTGTTTAGGCTTTGAGGTCACACACAAAAAAGGAAACCAACTTCTACAGTATATGTAGGTACCCGGGGAGTAAAAACCATACTTTTGGGGTGGGGTGGGGGGCTCTTGTCGAAATTACATAACATGAGTTATGCAGAAATAGGTATAATGAAAGGGTTAACAGGTGGTGGTTACCCCTATGTATATTATATGTACTCCTTCAGTCATTTTCTATATTTTACTCTTTCTTATAAATATATAGGAAAGTACTCCAATGGACATCACTAGTAGTAGTGCAGTTGATGAATTAACTACTGAAAATAAGTCGAAAAGTCCTGAGGCGGCTTCATTCATTCCTAAACCTGAAGAATGTAAAATGGATACTGTTGAATGTCAAGAGGCGACTGATGTTAATAAAGCTGAACCAATGATTATTGAAGAACAAGAGGCTAAAGGGGAAACTGATGAAGCTACCGGAGTAACACAGACAAAACCTGGTGAACAACAACAACAGACAGTTGAATCACTTCCACATTTAGTAGAACAACAAACTGAACCTGTTGTATCAGAGGCAACTACGGCTATCGACGCCAGTGCTACTACTTCTGCCGCCGCTACGTCGGTTGTACAAGAATCAGAGAAGTCGTCAGCTGACCAACAACAGCAACCACAATCGCAATCACAACTAGCGGAACCAAGTGAAAAGACTGCTGCCACAAACTCATTACCACCGAATCCCGATAGTCTAGGCACAGCTGCTGCGTGTGCATTAGCCGCTGCTGCTATTAAAGCGCGTCATTTAGCCAGTGTTGAAGAGAAGCGTATCAAGGGGTTAGTTGCTCAGCTGGTGGAAACACAGCTGAAAAAGTTGGACATTAAACTTAAACAAATTCAGGTAAGTTTTATTCTGTTTCGTATTTTTTGGTGTAATTGTTTGTTGAAGTTTCTTTAGGGAGTGGGTATTGATTTTCCGCGCTAGATCATTGTGCCCAACCTTCCTTTACATTTTCGGGCTTACACAACCGGTTAGTAAACTGGGCTAAGTTGAGTATCCTGATAATATTGGTTTATTAGGTGCAGAGATTAGAAATTCCTTGAATGTTGTTATAAGAGATATCTGGTTCATTGGATTGGCATGTGCATGATTTATGTACGTAGTTCCATAGGAGCAGATGTATTGATGTGTTTGTACACTGGAGAGTGATCATATGCTAGAGATTGTCTTTTCAAATGGACAACTTGAAAATATCAGTCTTAAGGTTGGCGCAAATACCGTCTTCCTTAGGGGGACTACTTACTTTACTTCGGCTATCTCCTACGGGAGGATGAGCCGGCTTCATGAACATCTCGAAAACCACCGGGTGAGCACAGGGCGCGTCGCTTACCGGGAACGCCGTAGCATGGTGATAGTCGTTTGTAAGAGAGTTCATGAAGTTTCGTGGGAATTTGGTACGAGTGAAGTCCCCAGAATCGCTCGGCCTTTTGTTCGAGAGTGCAGCTCTAGCCTTTACACAACCAAGTGTGACCTACAAGGCAGTAGGAGTGGAGTAGGGAGTCCACTATCCATTGGCAGCCGGTGACCGGAGTTCGGTTCATACGTCTTTTTGAATGGGGCCAGACATCCAGGACATCCAACAAGCCCTTTGTCCATACGTCTGCCGGTGAGCTCCAGTGAGCTTCATACGCCAGTCGTTGGAGGTTTGGAATCAGGGTTTAGCCATCTCCCCTAGACTGTCGTCCAATGGACAATCAACCCGGTGAAGAGCGCCGGGCATCCGCTTTCGCCCTCTCACTTTGGTGAAAAACACCTCCGCCACGTGAAGGCAGTGAGTAGGACTTCCTCAGGAGAGGCTATGTAAGACGCCCGGTCATATGGGAGCATTTCAAGAGGTGTGCGGAAGGGTGGCCAACCCGCAGCGCAAGGCACCCACCCCCGACCATCCTGAGGCTTTGAAGGCTTCCTTAGGGGGAGCTAGAGATTCATGTCTTTAAGAGATACCTGCCGCCAAGTCTCTCCCAAAGTCCAAGTTCATTTATAAGTAATTGTCCTTGGGACTGAATAGTGTTCTTATCTTTGTCACTACTGGGTTGAACGTTCTCCACATATTGTAGTGAGTATTCATACTACTATACTATACTGTACTATGTATATAATCCTACACTTCAGGGAGACTTAATAGCACATTGATATTCTTTAACCAGTTGCTGCTTAGGCTCTTGACTCTCAGACAATTCATCCCTAGTTCGAATCTTGTTCTACCTCCTTTATTCTGAGTAGCTGGTTAGTTTCATCAGTTCTGTCACACAGCAAGTATGACGCATACCCTGGTGCCAAGTGAACAAGGCCTAAATAACTGTTCGTAGCTACACATTCATTATTTTTTATTTTTACAGAAAACTTAAAAAACAAACAATAGACATCAATGAGCCACACCCATTGTATGAGGGATGGAGATATTACCTGGGGCTGCTCAAACCTCGGTGTGTATGCAGGAGTAACAGTGTCCAAACCCTTGACCCACCGGTTGCTCGGTTGGTTGGTTGGTAGTCGACGTCCTAGAGCAGTGATATAAAGCCCCACAGATCAATAAAAGTTGAATGATTAGTTGAGGGGAGTGGGCGCAGTGGGTATTATAATCCACATGGAGTTAGTTTAGCTCATGTCAATAGTCAAGCGAAAAACTTTTTTCCTTGTTACTCTGGTTCATCAACTAGAATTGAAAACATTTATTTCCCAATACGAATTGAAAACAAGCAACAGAGGTTAATAAAGTAGGATTTAATGAATTTATGAAATTCCGGTAGGACTCGTCAGCTGAATATTCTACATACACGGATATATATATATATACTTTTGAAATTGCATTGGGAGATATAAGACTGATAAGTAAACAAACTAGATTGAATTAGTCATGCAGAAAGATATGTGCGAATGTTTTCCAGGTCATGCTCAAATAGATAAGAAGAGAGGGAGTGTGAGAGATCAAAATTAAGATAAATTGCATTACGCTTCAATTACATCACTTAGATAAACAATTAGTCATTAGAGAATATATATCAAGAATTGCAAACAGAGTAATATCAGTAGTAATAGTTATATTAATAATGCTGAAACGAGTTAAGATAATGCTACTGATAAAAGATAGTTTTAAGTGAATCAAGAATAATAATAATAATATTAAGAGGTAGAATAATAAGTAAAACGTATTACCATGGTAGATTCAGAGTCACGACCATCTCCTTTTGTACACACAGACCTGGTTTATAAACTCGAATTGCTCAAGCCTCTGCAATTGCAAGCATCTTTCTGTTTCTTCGTCTGCTCGCTGACAACAGTGAACGAGTTGACAGCGTTCCGAGTGTGGATCATAGGACTTCAGGCTTGAAGCCCTAACGTTTCTATAAGCGTAGTGTTGTTTTTCACGGGATTAGGTTGATAGTCTCACACTGAGTGTTCCCTCTTTCCCGGCCTTGGGACCAGCTAGATAAGCTTTAGAGGAGTGCGTCGTCGTCCGCGAATCTAACCGTCGGCTACGGCTACCTGTATGGTCGGTGAGCATTCTGCACACTAATCTTCGTTATAATTTTCTTTACTTTTTTTCTCTTGCTTGCTACAGGAGTTGGAGAGTATCATGGAAAGAGAATATGAAATGATTGAACAAATGCGTCAACAATTACTTCAAGAACGTCAAGCATTCCATATGGAAGTGATTAAGACAATGGAGAATCGTGCTAGGTCGTTAGTACACCATCACCAACAACAGCAACAGCAGCAACAACAACAACCACAGGGTGTTGGTGGTGGTGTTGTTGTACCTCAACAGCAACAACCGCCGGCCCCACTACCGTCTCAACCCTTACAACCGCAACCACAGCCACAACTGCAACAACCACCACCACAACAACAGCACCCTTTACCATCCGCTTATGCTACCCCTCAGGGTAATACATATCCAGTGAATCAGATTACGCATATAAATCAAGTACAACCACAACCACCACTACCCCAACAACCACAACACCAACAACAATTACAACCAGGTACTCATATTATTCAGCAGCAACAACAACAACAGCCGCAACAGATACCTCCTTCATATCCACCTCAAATTCCATCGATTCCTAATGATCCAAGATTAATGTTGAATAATCCAACAGCTCCAGGAAACTTGTCTGTTTATCCACCGCCAGCACCACAACCACCACCACAGAGTTATCCTTCGACTGTACAGCCACCACCACTGCAACAGCAACAGCAGCAACCTCTAGCACCGTCATTATCCTCCTCATCATCATCATTACCATCGCCTAATCAACAACCTCCATCTGTTGGGCATACTTCACCGACACCAACTCAACTGATTCAACATCATCCACGTGAAGAGTGTCAACAAACAACAAGTCAATCCTTACCACTGCAAGCATCTTCAACAATGCCTAATACTGCTAGTAATAATAATCCACCACAAATGGACACGACAAGTGAAGTAGTTTGGTCTAGTTCTGTATATCCACCGACAACAATGACAACAGCAGCACCACCACCAGCAACCGCAACAACAACCACACAGCCATCAATGGAGCCGCATACTGTTCGTCAATTTATTGAACAACCATCTAGAGATAATCCCATGGTCCCGGTACCAAATATCACTTTGACAATATCTCAAAATGTTATTCATCCTTCGGCGGATACTGTTACAGCAGCATCAACAACAACAACAACTAATACTAGTGTCTTAGCGAACAGTTTATGCGCTAAACCATCACCGCTGTCTTCTACACAATCGATTAGTTCTGCTGCTGCTGCTGCTGTTCCTGGTGTTGTTGTTGTTGGCAGTGGAGATGGGTGTAGTGAGGCAGTGGCGGCGACGGCAGCAGGAGGTTTTCAATCTACTGAACACCACCACCATCAAGAACAGCAACAGCAACCACAACAGCATCAAGTCTCATCGATAGAAGTGAACTCGTGTACTGTTGCTAGCCTACTTTCAGATGATAATAATAATGCGAATATAGAAGTTCCAGAAGCATCTGGTGCTCCTGCTACAGCTGCCGCAGCAACCACAACTACTGCTGAGGGTAGTGGTAGTCCATCAGTGCCGGACAATAATCCGTCAATAGCACCACCATCGCAAACACAAACGCAACCTGAATTGAGTGGTTCTACGAAAGAAGAAGGTAACATTCATCAAGCGGAGTAGTAATAGCATATATATATATATATATATATATATCACTTCTGATTGTCTATTTTATGGACGTACACTACACTACACTACTAGTTCTCTGGTGTGTGTGTGTGTGTATTGCATTCTCTTTTTTCCTATTACTGTAATGTTGATGACACATTTTTAGTCAACTTTCATTGTGTGTTCCTCTTTTTCTCTCTCGTTGTAATCAAATGCCATCTTCGTTCACCAAGACACATACATATATGTGTATATCCATTGTTCACGTCTGTCACTCTACTTCGCTTTTTGAATAATATTCAAGTTTTTAATATGTTTTTCATTGGGTTTGTGCATTTATTAAAACAAATGTTACCCCTCCCCCACTCTTTCTCGTTTTTCTTAATGAAAATAATAATAATAATAATATGAATATATTAGCTAACTGATTTTTGTATTATGCAAGTGTGTAAGGGAATGTAAATTGTTCTTTTCCCGAGATTAGTCGGTGTATTACCTACCAGCGTCTGATACTTCTGTTCGATTCTTGTCGATCGAGAGATTATTCCCTGATGGTGGTAACAAGTCAATCCCTAAGTGACTTCAACGACTACTCAGGGATTGACTTGTTACCATTAGGGAGTAATCTCGTTGGCTTAGAATATGCAGATGATATAGTCCAGCTTCTGGGTGAAGATGCTGACAAAATTCAGCAGAGTTTTCTAAACACTTTGAACTGCAATTTGCGAGTGTTTGGCATGTGATTTGCTCCCTCTGTCAAATGTAAGATGATGCTACAGGACTGGACTGGACTACATTGACTCACTCCTAGCTTAGAAATAGGGAGTGAAGTGGTTGGTGGAGCGTGTTGACCACTTCACTTCTTTGGGAAGTTGCATCAGCCAGTGCCAACGGGTTGATCGCTGACGGAATCTCAGCACGGATACAGAAGGCTAGTTTCGCATATACCAGTTTACTCAGCCTCTGGGGTAGACGTGGTATCTGGCTATCGAACAAAGGACATGTGTACTGCTCAGCAGCTGTCTGCTCCGTTCTCCTTTATGTCTGTGAGTGAGACATCACTGACCATTGAAAGTGGAAGACATGACAAGCCCGACTAGACGTCTTTGACTATAAGTGTCCGTGTTCTGTCTCCCGTGTTAAGTGGTATAATATAATAGGGTGAACAATATTGAGGTTAGGCATAAGTCGAGTGCTAGGTGAGTTGAAGGGGATATCAATAGACGAGGTTGTGAAGCAGCTGCACCGATTGAGATGGTTAGGACGTGTGTTACGCATGTATGCCTAGCTATCGATCGCCTTCCTCGACTGACGGTCAATGCTGGCTGACTGACATAGGATTGATCAGGTTGGAAAAGAGTTAGCCAGTGGTAGTCAAACGAAAACATGGCTTTATGAGTCAATGAAATCCACACCAGTTTTTAGTTTAAGCCACGTAGGAAGGTTGGGGTCTTCGGGATGGTGAAAACCAATGGCAGCTGGAGACAATCGGTGATATGGCTCAAAATCGTTCTCAGTGGCGCAGATGCATCTACTCCTTGTGACTTATAATACCCAATAAAACTATGTAGTTCTTCGATATTACTATTCTTGTTGCCTCATATCTCTGTTTACTGTCTCTATTTTGCATTTCTCTTGCTTTGTGTGCTACAAGGAGGGAGTGTGGCGACTCGAACTGCTGCACATAGGTGCAAAGTTCTTTGTTGAAACCAGTCAGTCAGTCAGAGAGGTGGTTCTACAGCGCAATGGTTGGCTGACACATAGTATTCTATCGCAGACTAACTAATCGACAAGGTACACGCACTCTACTCGATTTCATCACGTAGTCATATGAGAAGTGATAGCAACCAGTGTGGTGTTCGTCATGGGTGCTCACTATCCTTGTTTTTGTTTCACATTTCATCATCGTAGACACCCTAACCCAAAGACTTTAGCGACTTAGGAATTGGCTTGTTAATAGGGTAGAGTTTTATCGATTTAAAGAGAGAGAGTAGTAGTATATGAATGATATTGTCGTCTGTTAAGCGAAGATGCTCATATAAGACAGATATCTTCTGAATACCTTCAACAGAAAGAAATCTTCGAATATTTGGCATGGAATTTACTTCTCTCAAATGTAAGATGATTCTACTGGACTGAATGTGTGTTTCAACATGGAACTCTGCAGCATAGAAAGTGCAACAGTTCAAGTTATTGCACTCCAATTTCGGCACACAAAGGAGGAATTCTAAAGAACAATCATAAATAGAAATGTACGGATGACAGACTAGCAACATTGAGAGGGATTTTAAGCTGTATCACCAGTCACTGTGTTTCTGTATTATTATTCAAATTGTGATGGAATTGTTTTACGGAGAAAAGTTCCTGTATTCGTCGCCTAAGAGACGTGGAAAGTATTTAAGATTGAACTAAGAATATTCAGTAGGTTATTTAATGACGTAAACAATCAAATTTCAGAAGTATGATTGACGTGTAAGGACTTTCAGCGATACAGTTTAGCTTTTTGACAAACAGTGTAGAAGATGTAATGGGTTTCAAATCGAGAATTAGCCTCTTTGGCGAATCTGTTAGAGTTGTAGCTTATTGATTTATTGTAGGGTTTCAGCAGCAGCACCACCACATCTCCATTCCGCTGCGTTCTCTACATCATAACTGGCTCCTCAATTGCCTATAAGCTTTCATTTCCACCTCATACAATCTTGCTATAGAAATGAAGCCTAACTTATCGTTCCCGATTCGAGTTCCAATCTAGCACCGTAATGGCGTGTGTTGTCACTTAACGGTGTCTTCATTGTAAGTCCAATCCATCTCCATTTCATTCAACATGTTTGTTGGACAATGGGTGCTTGTTCGGTTGGATGCTTGTCAGATTTGCTTGTTACTTACCCTTTCTGTTTGGCCATCTGATCTTCAGCATAGAGTCAGCGTAATCGGTTACTTATGAATCCATTTTTCGGGGATGCACACGCCGACAATGTGAACCATGCAGAAGCCTTGACTGGATTGACATAAGCGTTTTGAAAATCTGAATTTTGTTCCTCGTGCTTTGTGCAGTGAATTTCCCCGACTGGTTTATGAGTAATGAAGATGTATCTTGCTTTCCAGATCTCGACTGACTTTGACATCTTCATCTGTGGTGCTTTTAGTTGAGGTTATGCTTTCCATTCAAGTGGAAGTGGAGTATGGGTAGTGAATAGTACACAAGGATGCTGATATATATATATATATATGCTGAGATTTTGTAAATTCCGGTTTAATAATACTTTGATAAAGCTATTAGCATTAAATAGCGAAACGTCAGCAAAAACAACAATATCGTTTTGTTTTTCATTCATTCATTGGGAAATACAAAAACCTTCATTATAATGAATTAAATTGGTTTTGTTTAAGATGTAGGCAGTTGAAGAGAATCAACGAAATGAAACCAGCTCGTATTCTCCTGCCAGGAAATATGCTCGTTCTTTCTTTATTAAATCTTTTTTATTTGTGCTTTTTTATCAGTAATTTCATGTCAGATAGCCTGCTGATGAGGTAAGTAATTAGGCCTTTATATATTTAGTAATGGCTGGTACAGAGTAACATATGAACAGATCACTCAGTACCTTACATATGTCCACATAAGAAAATTGTCACTGAGCACTTCAAAGGAAAGAGTAATCCATTCATAATGTGTGGTCGAATATGAGTAATTCAGTAGGCGCGTTGCTAATTACATGGTCAGATGAAACTACCTGAATACCTTAAAGTCTGTTATTGCATACTGAAGTGACCTTCATGTATTGGTTTGTAGGGATTTGGTTGATTGGTTACAGGATTTCATCATGAGCTGACATTGGTTAGAGAACCATTGGAAAACCTTGGAGTACTGGACAGCTGTTTCGTCCTTGTTTGGGACTCTTCATCAGTACGCACCCACACCACTGGGTTCGAACCCAGGACCTTCTGGTTACAAGGCGTGATGTGACCTTATCAACTTCAATACTTCTTTTCAAATTTTTATGTAGGAGGAAATGTTCTACTCTAAGTAGTATATGTGCTATAAACAGAAAAATTCCGAATACTGCTATAACGACAGAAGATAAGGACCAGGCAACAGATCGTTTATTGAGAAAATCAAGAGCTATTTATAGATTTTTATGTACATTATTATTAGCGTTATTGTTAGCAGAGAAGCAACATCTTCTGATTGGTTGTTTTCTTGCTGAAGGTTAAGCTGTCATTTCTCTTTCTCATGACCCCGATTTCCGACGTAAACATTGACGTAAATTGTTATCTACAATTTTGGCTAACAGACAGCTCTCACCATACTGCCATTTCTTATCCCCACTGCCCAGGATTACTGTGGAAAAAAAGAATATCTATATGCAGGATGAATACAGTACATGTTTTTCTTTTCATGTCACGGCCTTTCCTCAGCTTCTAACAGTTTGAAAAATGCTATGAATTATTATAAATGGAAAAATACATGTAATAAACATCAGGAATTACCCAGTGTCGATTTGCGGAGAGTTGATCGATTACAGGTTTCATCACGAGTTGATATCAATGGGTGCATACTGATGAGGAGTCCCAAGCTGGGACGAAACAACCGTCTAGTACTCCCAGCCAGTTCTCAATGGTTCCTTAACTGATATTAACTCATGACCAGATCTGTAACTAATCATATCCCTACAAACCAACAACTGGCAATTAATCTGACTCTCACTAGTAACTGGCTCTACACAGGAAGTTACTTGGAGTTTTGGTGACAAGTCGTCACCAGTGGGATCCAACAAGTCGGGTAAGAAGTTAGTTATTCGTCTATGAAATCGGCTGGCGATTGTGCTGTATATATTGCCAATTGGCAGAGGTTGGACTTCTTAGGTCACTGAATCGGATCCCAGTAACTGAACTGTCTACGAGCTCACCTTGTGACTGGAAGGTATATACCTGGTGCGAACGCCAATTAGGTGCATCTAGTGAGGAGTCCCAAACTGGGACGAAACAGCTGTACAGTACTCAAAGTTTTTTCGGTGGTTCTCTAACATCAGAAATTGTTTCCACCCAAACGTCATTGAATAATTGTGAACAATATTAATTGATTTAGAATGACAAGTGAAATAATACCGGGGACAGTTAGTTCAAAGTGAGAATAGTAATAATAACAATTGACATTGTAATAAAGGAAGAGTATACAAATTGAGTAGAAAAAAATGAAAAAATTAGTAGAGCTAAAATATGATTAGGAATTATCATACTTTAGCATAGAGGGATTAAGACCACGAAAGTTGGAGGGGTTGAACAAACGTTTTCTGTATACAGAGATCTGGCTTTTCTGTTTAGATAGCCAAAGCTTGAGCAATACAGATGAGTCGGGTAGGTAGTGATTTGGGTAAATTGAGCAAAAGATATATATACAAGATAGTTAATAATTA